AAATGCGATGCAGAGAAAAATTCTCAGTTTCGTAAAACTCTAAATTGCAGCTAAAATTTTCGGGAAAATAATGCTGAAGCCCTTCTAATTTCGAAAAAGACTCAAGCTGCCTTAGGATGACCGAACAGATAAAATTTTTTAGCTCTAGTTAGAATACATTTCTAGAGATCTATAAAAGTACTGTGGATATCCTAAAAAGTGTTGGGTGCCCCTGTCTTTATATCTGATAAAGACACGGCTAAACTTTACGTCCAATTTTGTAGACCAAAACCGACCCCAAATTTAAATATCAGTGTAAGAATGAGTTGATCTATATCAGAGATTTTGAAGTCGTTCAAAAACTCGCAGTCTGTATTATCAGGGTTAAAACCTGATAATCGAAACTGCTCGTTTTTTAAACAGTACATTAAAAAATCTTAATAAAAATGCAGGGTTGTCACTAAGGGCCGGGGGCCGGGGATTTCCCCCGGCTACTCAGAGCATGGTCCCCGGCTACTTTCGTCGTTAAATTAAACCAAAAGAGCACCAGAAAATTCTACATTAAGCACATAAGCACTGAATTATAGCTCACCTTTGAAACACACAAAGACTATGCATCATACTAAATGCAAGTTTCATCTTCAGCAGGTTTAAGTGATTTTGGAAAACTCGCGGGCGAAAACTAAGAAATGTCGAAGAAAGACATCTTACTTAGATTTGGTACTAGTACACAAGCGCGAGAACTCTCCGTTCGCGAAATGTCAGTTTCAACCGTTGTGTCGGCTTTGTGTTGAACATGTCGAAGAAGCGGCAAAGGAATCTGCACTCTTTGTTCACGATAAAAGATCTGAGTAGATCTCTGTTGACATCGCAGAAGAAGTTGAGGCTTCATCCAAGCGTTAAATCTCCCTGATGCTGATGTTGATGATAATGAGGATTATGACGAAGGCTTTGAAGATGAAGNCCAAATTTAAATATCAGTGTAAGAATGAGTTGATCTATATCAGAGATTTTGAAGTCGTTCAAAAACTCGCAGTCTGTATTATCAGGGTTAAAACCTGATAATCGAAACTGCTCGTTTTTTAAACAGTACATTAAAAAATCTTAATAAAAATGCAGGGTTGTCACTAAGGGCCGGGGGCCGGGGATTTCCCCCGGCTACTCAGAGCATGGTCCCCGGCTACTTTCGTCGTTAAATTAAACCAAAAGAGCACCAGAAAATTCTACATTAAGCACATAAGCACTGAATTATAGCTCACCTTTGAAACACACAAAGACTATGCATCATACTAAATGCAAGTTTCATCTTCAGCAGGTTTAAGTGATTTTGGAAAACTCGCGGGCGAAAACTAAGAAATGTCGAAGAAAGACATCTTACTTAGATTTGGTACTAGTACACAAGCGCGAGAACTCTCCGTTCGCGAAATGTCAGTTTCAACCGTTGTGTCGGCTTTGTGTTGAACATGTCGAAGAAGCGGCAAAGGAATCTGCACTCTTTGTTCACGATAAAAGATCTGAGTAGATCTCTGTTGACATCGCAGAAGAAGTTGAGGCTTCATCCAAGCGTTAAATCTCCCTGATGCTGATGTTGATGATAATGAGGATTATGACGAAGGCTTTGAAGATGAAGACTGACTGATTGCTAGGTTTAATAAACTGTCATTAGTCAGTGACCAGATCTACATTAAGCTTTTGGTATCGATTATATAAAATAATGCATGGTCAATGGGAAATGTTCGATCGTTGTCGGCAGGTCACATCCTCTCAGTTCTACTTTCAAGAAGTTATATATAAAAGAGAAGTTAAGTATTAGCATTACTTTTGCATTCTTCTCCTCGTGTCTGGTTTCGACATCTCAGCGACGTTTATAAAGTATTAGCCCTGTCTTTTCCGTAGGTCAGTTTCTTCGTATGTTAAGTGATGTTTCGTTCCTAAATTCGAGACCACTAATGTTACCAGTTGTGCAGTTTAGTTTTGCCATATTTTATCCCGCGATTTTTCATACGTTATGCTTGTTTTCGCCTTATCATACTTTTTTTTTCCAACAAACCATATTAGCCTCATGTTTGTGATGCTTTTTCGTACATTCATCGACCGCTTGTCTTCTTTCCGCTCCTCCGTGGGTTAATCCATCTGTAATAATATTAGTTTTACCTTTGATTTCCGTAAGTTGTTACTATTCTAGTGTCTCAGAATGTTGTAGTTTTCTTTAATAAAGACGTGATCATCATAAAACCGCCAATGATAGCTCTGCTCTTGATGAAGATTGCTTTTTTGGGCGGTAATGCCTTTTGGAAAACGGTAGAAGTTGCACTTCAAAAACTTCTTGGGAAGCGGGGGGCTCCACGACTGCTAGCGACTTCCCCGGCTACTAACAACAAATACCCGGCAACTTGAAATATTAGCGACAACCCTGAAAAATGCCATATTTCTTGATGTTTTTACAGGTTGCTTTGAATCGTTTAAGAATGAACTATTTCAAACGACCAGGGATTTTACAATTACAGCATCCTCAGAACTTAGTAGTCATAACGCTACTTATAGTCGCCTTTATGGTATTGACGGTTGGTGCAGCTCTTCAGCATCCCTACCTCAGTACTTACAGGCTGATTTCAATAAAATTGTAACAGTCACAGGCGTGGCCACTCAGGGAGATTCTAAAAGGAACAACTGGGTGACGAGTTATTTAATCCGCTATGGATACGATGGTAAAACATGGATTAGTTACGGAGCTGGACAGGTAAATTTGCAACATGTAGTCATATATCTGTCTGAGGATTTGCTTAAAGGGACCTCCAGGAGTTTTTCCCCGACATTCTCATTTCGGGCTCGTTTACTTTACTTTTTTCTTTGTTATAACATTTTGAGTACACAAATCCTCTAAGAAGCTGCAGTAGCCATTAAATCAGGCTCATCCTCGGTGTAAAAACCTTTGAAACTCACGAGTGACGTAAAACAATGAATACAAAGAAGCCACTGAGGAGCCAACACAATCGAGCCAAGGAAAATAATAACTAGAAAACAAAGAGGTAAACCCTAAAATCATGTGTTTATAATGCTGTTTACATCTTTCTTCACCCCCCCC